ATCCTATATATAGGTTTAACAAACTACGTTACTGAGCAGATTAGGATGGAGATGGGGACTTCAAACAATTAAAGTTCAGCTATACCATTACAGACGCACACTTCCAACTAAATATTGCAACCCGTCGCTATTTATAGTTAGCTCGCTTGCGTAAGCAGCCGTGAGATGTATTGCTTATGCCGCGGCAGGCCGTATTCCGGCCGTAAGCGGGCCGGCTAGGGCAAGCCGAACGATTTTGCAGCGGCATGCCGTATTCCGGCCGACTTTGGTTAGAACATGGCCAAACGGTACCGGGCTAACATAACGCGGGCCATAAGCGGAACGACTGGGGGCAAGCCGAACCGCTGGTCAACCGCCTATGCCGAGCGAAGGCCGACTGTTTGCCAAATGTTTGGTGCTTACTGGGAGGCGTTCGCATATAAAAGCATGTTTGCGGGTGAAACCGTATGAAAACAGACGTTCGCGGGTAAAAGCATATGTTCGCGGATGAAAGCAGATGTTCGCGGAAGAAAGCAGATGTTCGCGGGTGATTGCAGATGTTCGCGGGTGATTGCAGATGTTCGCGGATAAAATCAGATGTTTGCGGATAAAAGCATATGTTTGCAAGTGAAATTGGACTAGGCAGGCGTTTTCGGGTAAAAGCAGATGCTCTCGGATAAAATCAGAGTTTGCAGATGAAACCCGACAAAAATAGCCGAAAAAAATACAGGCAATTGCGGTTAAAACCAGACGTAAGCATACATTTGCAGATGATCCCGGACAAATGCAGATATAAACGGACATAAAACACAACCAACCGGAAGTTCGCGGATATAGCTCTTTGGACAAAATCAGATGTTATCAGATGATATTTTTACCCGCTTTTATCCGGCTTCGACGAAGAATTTATATCCGCAATCATCTGCTTTTATCCGGTTTCGACGAAGAATTTATATCCGCAATCATCCGTCATTTTCAGCAGGGTATTCAAAAGGATTATTTTTTTAATTTTAATACGAAGTGTATATGTACAGAGGCGCCTCTGTAGATAAAGTTATGGTTATGTACAGAGGCGCCTCTGTTGATAAAGTTACGGTTATGTACAGAGGCGTCCCTGTAAAAAATATCAATATACAGAGACGCGTTGACTTGTATTAAGTATACTATAGTGTTATATGGTTTAAATTAATTTTATTTTCAAACATTAGGTACCATATATTTGAAATGCTAGCGTCTAGAGGCACCGAATTATCTTGGCTCCCTGGCTCCTAGACATGCGCCTTTTATAGAAATGTACTCAAACTCAACAACACAACCCAACCGACCCCGCCCCATTGAGCAAAAAACCCAACTAAAATGGGATAATTTATGTAATTAAAAAGTGTTTTATTTTTATCGTAACATAAATTTTCCCATTTTAGTTGGGTTTTTTGCTCAATGGGGCGGGGGGGGCCCAATGGGGCGGGGTCGGTTGGGTTGTGTTGTTGAGTTTGAGTACATTTCTATAAAACGCGCATCTCTAGGAGCCAGGGAGCCAAGATAATTCGGTGCCTCTAGACGCTAGTTAATCTGCCTCTGTACATAACCGTAACTTTATCTACAGAGGCGCCTCTGTACGTATACACTTCGATTTTAATAGTAACCTAACTCTTTTTGATATTTTTTGCATTTTTCTCAATAACTAGGGGTTTAATAAAAAAATATATACAGTGTGTCTACTTAAGTTGGCAACATATGGGAAACTTTTTTATTATTAATTTTAAGAAAAAAAGTTATTCTTCATAAAAAGTTCTGCATGTTCTAAAATCAAAAATAAAATTCAGATATAAAAAAATTTTCTTTCGTATACGCGCGCGTACGCGGTTTGTCAAAAAAATGAATCTTACTTAGAGTAAAGTACTATACCTTTATATTTGACAATAAGTATCGAAAATTCTTATTAAAAAAAGTTGCAATTACTTCCATCTACATGGAAAAAATCATTTTTTCTTTTTTGTTTACAATTGCAATAACAATGCAAATTTAACTGTAGTTACATATTCTCTAGGATGCACTGACAAACAAATGATTTGTTGAGAAATGTTTGACATTGAATGTCAAAACATCAGAATTTGCTTATTACTTTCTGAACGGAACAGAAAGGTTATCATGTTTGTAATAAATAAAAAAATAAATGTTCGGTAAGTATCGGTAATGTGAGAAAAATTTGAAAAAATTTTTTCAAGTAGAAGGATGTATACATTATAATTGCATATCAAAACATAGTTTTTCATTCCGAACAACTGTTCATAATTACAGTTTTCGACATTGTCACAAATAAAGGTACTTTACTCTTTTACCAAATTCATATTTTTTGTCGAACCACGTATATAACTGAAAAAAATTTATATCTGATGATTTTATTTTAGATTTTAGAACATTTTATAACGAATAATTTTTCTTCGTAATATTAATAATAAGAAAGTTTCCCATGTTGCAAACTTACACTGTATATGACAAAAAGTATGTATTTTATAAAGATAATCATTTTTTTTATAGAACAGAGGTTTTCGAGTTAATTTGAAAAAACCTAATTTGTTGAACTTTTTTCAACTTTAGGCCACTTGCAGAACCTATTTTTATTCATCATAAGAGTATTTTATTTCTTATAGCCATACACAACTTTTTTTCACTATTAAATTATAATTTTTATTTTTTTTTAGTTTTTGGCTCACCCTAATATATAGAGTATATTATACTATCCCAGTCGTAAAAGGAAACTCCAGCTACTGTGTCATAGAGGCGAATGTTGAATACTTTGCAATGATGAGTAATTAACCTCATATATTTGTTTCCTTATGCTGCTGTGTTATACAGGGTGTCTCAAAAGTCAACGATATCCTTTGAAGGACTTATAGGTCAGCTCATGACTAATCAGAATATCAAAACATGATCTTAGTAAAAAATCATTAGTTTTTAAGATATTGGCATTTTTATGAATTTTGTGAAACTTCCCGGACAACATTCGTGATATTCATAGGTACATCATGTCGTGATTTTCAAAAATTTTATTCATACTGATATCATACGGAAGTCACCGCGTGATAAATGAAAATCATACGAACGTCACGTCATGATTTTCACAAATTTTATTCATACGGACATCATCCGGATGTCACTGCGTGAGAAATCATGTCGTGATTTTTTATGCCATCGCTGTTTGCGATTGACCGATGGCCTAAAAAATCATGTCGTGATTTTTTATGCCAACGGTGTTTGGATAATCATTTTTGCGCCACGTTCGTACACTAAGAGAAAAATTATGTTGAATCAACAGTTTGTGCGGTTAAATACATTTAATATTTTCTTGGATTTAAATTAACTATATATAGTTAATTTAAATCCTAGAAAATATTGAATGTTAAACTGTTGATTCAATTGTTAACATACTTTTTCTTTCAGTGTACGCATGTGTCGCAAAACTGCGTATCCAAACACCGATGGCAAAAAAAATCATGTCGTGATTTTTTTGGATATTTATTTTTGCGCCACATTCGTACATTGAGAGAAAAAGTATACCTACATATATATTGAATCAACAGTTTTTGTGGTTAAATACATTCAAATTTTTTTTGGATTTAAATTAATAGTTAATTTACATCCAAGAAAATATTAAATGTATTTAACTGCAAAAACTGTTAATTCAATTGTTAACATTCTTTCAATGTACGAATGTGGCGCAAAAATAAATATCCAAACATGTCGGTGCACCATGTCCTGATTTTTTATGCCCAAACACCGATAGCATAAAAAATCATTTCGTGATTTTTTATGCCATCCGTGTTTGGATATTTATTTTGCGCCACATTCGTACATTGAGAGAAAAAGTATACGGCCATTCCACGCGTAACGGATGGTACAGTTGCATTTACAAAATAGCATTGTTCTATTATATTACTATAGTAATATTATAATGTCAAATTTTTATAAATAGTTCTAAACAAAAGCTGTTTAACAAGGTTTTTATTTGGCAAAATTAGGTATCGTGGTTGACTGTTAAATTTAATTCCTTAAAAAATATTTTTTTTATTCAAAAAGACTACTAGTACTGTTTTTGAATAAAAAAAATTAATTGTTAATTGGAATATCTATTTTAATTGAACCCGGACAACATTCGTGATATTCATACAACGTTTTATAAATTATAAAGGTGTAATTTGAATAACAAACAAGGTTTTAAATTCGCAGTTCGCATGCGCAAATTTTGCAAATATCACACCTTGAGTTCTACATGATATCACTGTGATGAAGCATGTGTATGCACTCAGGATATCACAGCGTGATAAACAAAATCACGTTGTGATATCATCACGACTTCACCAGGAAATCCCATTTGTTGTCCGGGTTGACACCTAAGATCACTTTTTCAAGTGCCACAGTTACAAAATTCTATAATCTTAGATTATATTGCGTAACACTGAATAGGCCTGCTATTAATTAAAATTCAAAATTAAACTAATAGTAGATTTTGTAGCTGTGGCACTTGAAAAGTTAATCTAAGGTGTCAAGTTTTACAAAATTCAAAAAATGACTATATCTCAAAAACTAACGATTTTTTACTTATGTCATGTTGTGATTTTCTGGAGAGTCATGAGTTGGTCTATCAGTCCTCCAAAGGATATCGTTGACTTTTAGGACACCCTGTATAAGTCCCTTAAATTAATACGGGTAGAAAATATAGGTCTAAAAAATAGGCCCCAAAAATTGTTTTATTCCAATAAATTGTTTCCAATATTAACCCCATTCCATAATATAATAAAAAAAATTAATTATTAAAAAAAATTGTAACCCGTTTTTTTGGGCTATCAGTATATTGGCACGGATATGACCCGTTAGTATACTATAGCGAAAGGGTTTTAGGCGCAAAACTAGGAGGCTGAACGAAATATCCATAAACATAGTTTTACCTAATTAATAAGTAGTTTATATTAACACAAATTCTTAGGATTTAGAAGACCAATATAAAAATAAATACCTATATTACTTACGAAATTTTATTTAAATTACCTATTACATATTTATAAACATTAACTAAAATAAAACAACGGTCATAAATAACAGAACTTTGTTATGATAAACAAACTGTGAAACTATAACTTTAAATCACAACCTTAATAACTCAGAATGGCTGATATCAAAAACATTTTTTATTAAAAAAATAATAATAAATGCATTGTAAAAGGAATGCATAATGTAAATTATTACTTGGAATGCTTATTAGAGCAATGAATAGATCACAGACTCTATAAAGATTTGATGGGAGATTTGTTTGCTAGTTTTTACCTGGTTTCTGGGTTGTAGGGGCTGTTTGTTGCTGCTTTGGTAAAGGGGTTTGCTGTTTTGGAGGTGGAGTTTGTTGTTTTTGGGGTGGGGGACTTTGTTGCTTGGCAGGGGGAGGTGTTTGTGGTTTAGGTGGGGAAGCTTGTTGTTTTGGAGGTTGAGTTTGTTTTGGGGGTGAGGGAGTTTGTTGCTTGACAGGAGGAGGGTTTTGTTGTTTGGCAGAAGGGGTTTGCTGCTTGGGGGCTTCCTTTGGTTTTGGAGCCTGAGTTGGAGTAACTTGAGGTTGTACTGGTGGTTTTTGTGTGGTGGTAGTTGGTTTTGAAGAAGTTGTTGTTGGTCTTGGTGTGGTTGTTGGAGCTTGAGTTACCGGTTTTTGGGTTGGAGGAGGTTGAGTAACCGGCTTCGGAGTCGGGACAGCGTTTTGTACCAAGTGGTTCCAACCAATTTTTGATAAAGGTACACGACCAATAAAGTTGTTGAATGGTGATCCTAAATATAATGTGTCCTTGTGAATGAATGCTTCACTAAAGGTTCTGAAGTTTTTATTATTAGCGTGAATGCTGTCCAAAATTTCTCCGGTTTTAGAAATGTGCAAAATTGTGGCTCTTTTTGGAAGCATGGGTGTCATTGAGTTGAAGTGTCCAATCTAAAACAATTAATATTTATAATATGAATAATAGAATTTTTTACTGAGACTTACAAAGTGAGTGGCTTTCTGAGCAAAAGCACAAGGATAATAGTTGTTAAGAGTTTCGAAACAAAGATCCAACAATCCAAAAAGTCTGGCAACAACTTTTCTGATTTTGGGAAAGGGTGCAAAAATGTGTGGTATATTTGGATGGTCAGCATCTGCAGCAATTACTAATGGTACCAAGTAACCACCTTTACCATCTGATCTTAAATTGTCTGGTAAACCAGGCAAACCATCAATAAAAACTTCTTGTTTTCCCTTATTCGGGCCTTTTAGGTAATATCTATGCAGTCTATTGCGTCCAGTTTCAGAAATAATCAAATGTTCCTCACCATCAGAAAGAATTAAACCATTGGCAAAGTGAATGTTTTCCATGAGAACAGTATTTGTTTTAGTTTTGGCATCATAATGAATTAATCTATAACAAATTGATTAAAAGGATTTGCACATACAATTTAATTACATTTTTTATTAAGGTTATCAAAGTGTGTCTTATGGGGAATTAACTTTGTTTTATAAAAAAAAACAAGCTGATAAAAATATACTTAATGTTGTATAATAACAAACATTAATTCAAATCTATTCTAAATAGTAGAGTATTAAGCTTGTAAAATTAATCAGTATTTAAATATTCACTTATGAATATAGAACAGAACATTTAACAAAAGTAAAAACATGATAAATTATTATGCAAAATATTTGTGTAGTATTATTTAAATAATTATGTAAATATATTAATTAACAAATATTAGATTATAATAAATTAAAATTTACCTTCCACTTCCATCTGCTAACATATCGATGATACCATCTTGCAAAATAAATTCAGTGGATGAATCTGTCCAATAAAGGTCTCCATTTTGAGCCACCACCAATGAATTAGGCAATTTTGGCTTCTTTCCATTAATTTCAGCATCCATAGATACCAAGTTAGTTTTTTCTCCTGTTTTAACATTAACTTTAAAAACACCATAGTAGGCATCAGCAACAAATAAATTGCCACTTTTGTCAAATGTGATTCCCAAGGGCCGACCACATGTCTTTTCTTCATGAAGAGAGCTACATGGTTTTCCAAGTCTAACAATTGGGGTTATGTGGTTGCCAACAAATTTTACAACATCCCCACCATGTAAGGTGGTGTATAGTTCCCCATTGAATGAAGCAAAAGACTCAGCGCCATGAACTTCACCTTCATGCCATTTTTCAGCTAATTCTAATCTATTGTTTAAAGCTAACTTGCCTTCGAAAGGCTTGGCAGATTTAACACTAAAATTAAAATTTAATTGAAGATATAAACTAAAATTATAAAAAAACTTACGTATATGAATCGGAAATCTTTGCATAAGGAGGTAGCCCCGGTATTAAAAAAATTACTAATGCTACAACTAGTATTTCTAAACACCTGAAGGTAAAAAACTTAATAATACCCTTTAACCCCATTGCTGCAACAAAATGACCTGTAAATTATTTTCAAAATTGTTCAAAATCAAGCGCTTCAAATATTTACCGTTCTAGGGATAGACTATGGACCGATGACCTAACGAATATTCTTTAACTTTCTTACAAATTAACTGTTAACGGCGAACATAACACGTCTGACAACCCGGCAAGATTTTATTGTAATGACGTGAAATTCGTCCGATGACATGTCAAACGAAAACACGAATAAATAAATACCCTGAAGTTAGCCAAGAAAACTGGTAATACAAGGGGTAATCAGAATGTTGGTCAATTCTTTGGTTTTCGTTTTACAAAGTGACTAGAAGTACGGGCATTAAACGTACAATCCTTATTTAGCAAATTTTTATATTTGCATAATATTAAATGGTAGCTCAATTTCGCGTTCAATGGGGCGGGGGGGCCAATGGGGCGGGGTCGGTTGGGTTGGGTTGTTGAGTTTGGGTTGATTTTGGTAATTCATACAGACATTTCATTAATTTTGTTGTTAATTGTATTTCAATAACTTGATTAAATTTTAATTAATGTTTATACAACTTGAAAGTTAGCTTAATAATTACATAATTATTATCGTATATAATACCACTACACCTTTTCCAGTTGATATTCAGAAAGTAGGAATTGTAATTCAGATATTCCAGTTGATATTCAGATAGTAGGAATTGTAATTCACCCTATTGAAAATGCCATATAGAACCCATATTGAATCCGATAAGGAAACGTATCTGGTTCTATATGGTTTTATAGGTCCTATATGGAAAGTCCTGGTTTACATTACGGATTCTATATGGTTGAATATGGATTTCCATTTTAAAAATTTTCATATTCAACCATATAGGGAAACCTATCTGGAAATACATATAGAACAGAAACCAGATAAATCCATATACAACCATATACATGTCTTTAAAAAGACATGTATATGGATGTATATGGATTTATCTGGTTTCTGTTCTATATGTATTTCCAGATAGGTTTCCCTATCTGGTTCTATAGTGTTTTAGAGTGTTTTTATCTGGTTCTATAATGTAATCTTCTATCTGGTTCTATAGTGAAATGCCTGTTTCAAATACCTATATTGAACCAGATAGAAACCATATAGAATCCAGATACGTGTTTTTTATATGGTTCTATATGGCATTTTCAATAGGGTCAGCTATTCCAATTGATTTTAAGAGAGTAGCATATGTAATTCAGATAACACAATTGATTTTAAGAAAGTAGCAATTGTAATTCAGATAACTCAATTGATTTTCAGAAACTTGCAATTGTAATTCAGAAAGTAGCAAATGTTTTTCAGATTAAATCAAATGTAATTCAGTCGCAGCAATTGTTTCAGGAACAGTGCTGCCCTACTATGGAGAAAGGCAGTAACTACAGAAAAATTCAAATTGCGTTTTCTTGTGCTATGATAAAGCTATGGACATTTTGTATCTTAATTCAACAAAGAAATGCAGTAAACTATCTTATAAGTTAAATAAATCAGTAAAATACCTAGTGCTTTTTATAAAAATGTAGTTTATGCTAATTTACCACAAATTTCTTGTTTCTCCATAGTTAGGCAGAGTGGGTTGCATACAGTAAATCGATGATGAATGAAAGTACACGTTATCTTTATTAACTAAATAAAGGAAATTTATATAAAGTACAAATGAAGAAAATTCGGTCCTTATATATTTGCAATAAGTTGACAATTATGACAAATATACCTACTTAAATGGTGATAAATGTGTTTACTATTGTCAATTCCATGGAAACAAAGCAATATACATATATGTATATATATATGTATACAAAGAAATAGGTACATTAAATTGAGATTTTAGAAAATAAGTAAAATGAAGTATGAAAATGTTATCATTTGTTAATTTTTAAATATCAATTGACATATTCTGAATTACAATTGTTACTGTCTGAATACTATTTGTAATTTCTGAATATCAATTGCTACTGTCTGAATATCATTTGCAATATCTGAATTACATCAGCTACTTTCTGAATATCATTTGAAATATCTGAATAACATTTGTTATTTTCTGAATTTCATTTGCAATATCTGAAAATCAATTGCTGCTTTCTGAATATTAATTGCTACTTTCTGAATATCAACTGGAAAAGGTGTAGTGGTAAAATTTTACCGATAAAATTTTTGATTTTTATACGAATGTTTTTTTCTTGGAAATTTCGCAAGTGGCATTAATTTTTAAGACCACGAGCCGCTAGGCGAGTGGTTTGAAGTTAATGCCACGAGCGAAATTTCCAAGGAAAAATCTTGAGTAAATAAAAACCAAAAATTTTTTTAGGGAAAATTTTATCACGAGTGGTATTCGGCAAGACTATTTCACGAATATTTTTAACTGCTGATTCAATTTCTGTATGATTTTTTGGACCAAAACGCATATTTTTTAACATTTTAATTTTAAAATTAAAAACGTCAACAGTGACAATTATTTTTATCATAGCAACCAATTGGTTGTTATGCAACTCGTATAAACGAGTGGTTTTTTCACCTGAATAGTAGTTTTATCGCTGCAAAACTGAAAAAACCACTCGTTTTCTGAAATCTGATTGGTCCAAAAAGTAATGAGTGGAATAGTCACCTGAATAGTAGTTTTATCGCTGCAAAACTGAAAAAACCACTCGTTTTCTGAAATCTGATTGGTCCAAAAAGTAATGAGTGGAATAGTCATAGAAAAAGTATTATTATCAAGAGTTAACCAGCTGTTTACCAACTGTTATACAACTGGGCCTTAGTGAACCAATTTAATCTCAACTAATAAATCCGAATATCATCAGCTGGTATGGAAACACGCATGCGCACATACCTGATGTACGTTTAATGCCCGTACTCCCGGTGTACTTCTAGTCACGCCGTTCTTTTTAACCTTATATTTTTTAATTTAGGTAATAGGTAGGTAAGTATAAATATATATAATATAATATATATATTTATAAATTGGATTCTTTACAAATTCACTAAATTATACCTAGTTGTAGGTTTAATTTTAAAATAAATATTTTTAAAGTAGGTAAGTACATATTTATAAATAAACAATTTTGGTTAAAAAAACTGCAAATGATTTTTTCTTCTCCCACCTTTAAAACGCCCTTTATCGTACATGTTTCCATGACACTAAGTGACCTTTTAAATACACATTGACAAGTTGTGGCTTTACGGCGCTTTAGTCACGGGCTGAAGTGAGCAACAGGTTTTTAGTCACGGGCTGAAGTTAGTTTTAAGTTAGTTGACAGTTGTCAAATGTCATACAATCGTTAAAATAAAGTGCCTTTCTTGTAAATTAATACTAAATGTGATTATTTTATTATTTCAATACAAAAATATTAAATAGTTTCTAAACGCCAATATTTAAAAAGTTTATATGAACATTGTACTGACCTTTTAATTTCGCCGGCAGTAAACTATAACTTAAATTCGGGAACGAACTCTACTGTCAAGTCCTCATAAAACATTTCCTTTACTTTTCACTGTGAAAAACTGTCAATTTTCAATATACATTTCGATTTATAACCTTTATAATTGTGTTTATAAAATGTAAAAATGTGACATTTGACAGTTTCCCCTGTTGTTTCATAGATGGCGCTCTATACAAATTTTTGATTTAAATCATTTTAAAATAAAAATAAGTATTTGTCGTAGAAAAAGTATAGTATGCACCTCGTTTATAAACTTTTCTATACACTCATTAATTTAAGAACTCGCTGGCAAGCTCGCTCGTGCCTAAATTAAATTCGTGTATAAAATGGCGTTTATCAAACTTGATACATAATATATATTAGTATATACTATTATGTATGAGCATATTTTAAATATCGTATAACTTAATCAAGTGACATTTATTAAAAGTGAGTTTATATAAATTGTCAGCCACTCGGCGCATGTTTTGTTTTTTACAGTCGTGTCCGTCCAAATATTTACCTGTCCGGCTTTTTGTTGTTAGTTATAAGTTATGTAACTTATAACTGGGTAATTTTCTCAAAAAACTGTGATTTATATGTAGGTACTCTAGATACCGTGTAGGTACACGGGAGGCTTTAGCTCACTTTAAAACATTTGCTTATAATAGTTGTGTTTTTAATAATATATACAAAATTTGAGTCTTGAGTTGCTCTTTTATAATAACTATAGTTAGTTATAACTGTTTTAACATATACATATGTATACGTATTAGGGTGGTCCAGAAACGAATTAAAAAAGTGAAGTTGTAAATAGACTTATTCTCACCCTCTAATTTTTTTATATAAAGTAAAAAAAGTTATTTTAGAAAATTTGAACCCTCTAGCTTAATTAGAAGGGAGTGCTCACAGCTATGATATTGTCTTCAGATTCATTCTATATAGAATGAATCTGAAGACAATATATCCACATGAAAATCATGGTCCAGAACTATTAGTACCTAGCATAAATTGCAGCTTTTTTTGTGGTTTCTGTCGGAACAGATTTCCGATTCGCTTCTACGATTTGTAACAAGTCTTGCTTTTCGTCCTCATTTTTTATAATTGATTATGCTCTTCAAATAGTTTTAACCATCTTTCCGCTATTTCATTTACAACTCGAAGTTTTACAACACACAGTCGACCTTGAAAAAATATAAGTAATAAATAATTTATTGCGTAGACAAAGGCCATATTAATATTATGATTATTATTATTATTATTATTATTATTGGTATTAATATTATTACGAGTTCATTGGATAAGTACCAAAGATGATGTTTCATAGCGTTCTAAATCTTTCCAAAAAGTTAGGTCGGACATAGTAGCTTTAGTGGCACACGGTGCCTTGATCCAGATTTCACCAAAACGACCAAAGCCAACTCGATCAGTTCCAAGTAGTCGTCATAACGTTGAGACTTTTGTTTCAATGCAGCTAGCAACAAGGGGATTGTGGAGTTTTTGTAAAATTCAAAATTCTTCGACGATTCTAGGTCTGAGGACTTGAAGCAGATACGATCAATAGGTACCCAAATTATTTTAAATCGATTAAAAATTGGAATATCCGGAAAGCAGCACAACTTGAAAACCTTACTAAGAATTATTTCCAAAACATGATGACTGCAGACTAACCAAAGTAAGTATCTGCCAATTTTTTCTCAAGCAAAACGCAGCACCCATTCTTCATTCCAGTATTTACAGATGTTGTGACAAAACACATTGCTTATACTTTATCCACCAGATTCCATTCTCGAAGTACGTTTCCGACTTCATTTGCTGTACTCCTAATAACTTTTCATTTCCATCTGCTAAAACTAGTACTGGTAAACGTTCTACTTTAGTTAAGCAGT